GCTGTATATGTGACTGTGTTAGTGGGAATTAGGAGTTCACATCACATGTGTCGGTGTACGCACGTGTGAATGCAGCAGCACACTGCAGGAATACAAATGTCAAAGCTCTTCTAGATGTCAACAAAGCATTTATATTGTGAGTAATTTTACTCTAATATACTGACAATTGAATGTTAACGCTGTACGCAGAATGATGGGGGCTCCACTTAGCAGAGACGATCTGAACGCACGCGTACAAATTGCAATCACAGAGCGAAGCAATTCCACTGAAATGCCATTTTTATCGGAGGAGTAAATACCAAGGAAGCCGATGCTTGGAACAGGCAGTGTGTGTGTTTCTGTTCTACGGCAAGTAAAGCAGAGGGTCACTGGACATTTCTGGAGCAGTTTTCCAACTGTCTGGTACTGCAGGAGAGGAGGCACATATTTGCTGCTCCTCTCCTCTTGTAAGATGCCAATGGCTTCTGACACAGCCGGTGGAGAATAATATAGCCTCTCACTTTCACTTTCAAAGCGCTGTATTGATGATGTATTGACCTGGAGACCGCCGGTGGGGCCAGTATGAGAGAGGTGTGGGCTGTCCTACCTTAAGGAGCTTGTGGAATAGAGGTTAAACCAAACTATAACACCCAATACGTCATGCTCGTCGCTAGATGCTCGTCTAGAGAACTGCATGGCACCTTTTTCAATCCAGTTCAAGTCCTGGCTAATAGTATTAAAAGCATGAGTAGTCTTGTCATGTCTCCTTTGTTCTTCTCGTCACCTCTAATGGAGCTACTTTTTAAGCAAATAGCCTCCCGATATTCTTAATCCTTTTTAATATCTAGTGTCAATGACCAAGGAGGCTTTTCGTGAACAGAATTACAGAGCAACACACAACCGTAGTGTCAGTAGCATTTTAACATGCAGAGCTTGTCTGCTCATTAATGATGTATAGAGACAGCAAAGCCTCCATGCTAAATGGTAGAATAGGCCTAACTCATTCTTGATCTCCTGGATAACCCCTCTCCTCGAAGATTAATGTATTTCTGCACTTTTAATTATCACATGGATAAAATCTGTCTTTAACTCAAATGATTACCCAGACGTCGTGGAAAACTTTTTGACGAGGTTCAGATAGAAATGCATGCCATTTATGCTGAGGCAGTAATATAGTGGCAGTCAATAAGCCTGTGAATGCTTGACCAGCCACGCTTAGCTCAAATACTCTCACTCTCAACTACACGAATGGATGAGTTATTAAATGCAATAGAACTGACCTTCTCTCATAACCTTTGGATGCTGAATAAATAAACATTATCAGCCCTCAAGAGAGGTGATAAGAATACAATCAGCTGCATAAAAATATTTAATGCTTTATCCAAAAAACGTACACCGACAGTATCAGCATATTTTCACACTTAGACCCAAAGCAAGCTTTGGAGTAGTCAGCGACATTCTGCAAAGTATGGAAAAGCAGTAGTGCTAAGTAAACAAAGTTGCTAAACCCGAGAGAAGTATATCAAGTAGGACAATTTACACTGCCCGCTTCCACTCGTCACCGCTTTTCTGGGAAAATAATTCAAAAGAGCAGCTGACTGGTAGGTTTTAAGACTTCTGAAAGCTGTCTAATGCATTAGGTGTATGGTAAATCAAGCACTGAGACATAGTCTAAAGAATAAAAATAAAAGTAGTACTATTATAATTAACAAAACATGTAGCCACAATGTCCTTGGTTTGAATCAAGCAAGGTACCTATGTTTCATGTCCAATAGGCAGGTTGGTGAGCCACGAAACCTTGAGGGATTATTCCCAACCAGCAGCACTCTTTCCATTATAATTATCATTCTTGTACATGTTTCTATACACAATGAATGCTATCTTCATTAGCCTGTAGTGATATTACAGCACGATAAACTCAAATGGAATTGAAAAGAATGAGAACATGACATTTGATTTGTATTTTCATGTATACCGAGCATGCGCTTTAAAGCAGTGACTAAACAGCTGGATCACGTCAAGACAACTGAGCCATCTACATGACAACAGAGTACATTTAGACTGCTGATAAATACTGTGAGAAGACGAAAAAAGCTCTGGAAAACTTCTAAGTGCAGCTGGTCAAACGGCTGAGAACTGCAGTTTTAGATTTGTCAAAGTGCGTCCGTCTAAATCTGACACCGCGTGGTAACATTCAGTGTAAAATAAAGTAAGTGTTGGTTCATTGTAGCCACAGTCCTATACCTACATGGCAAGTATTCTGGGGAGGTCACCATCTCCTACACTTATACAACACAACTGTATAAAATATGAGGAAATAACCAACAGCACAGAAGTTTGCTCTGTGTTGTTTGTGACATATTTAATCAGAGTGGATCTAGCGTGTGTAATTGTGGTTTGACTACGAGAGTCACACACAAGCTGGAGACTGCAGACAGAAGACTTTTTCCACAATCAGCTGTTTGGAACATTTCATTCTAAATCTGCAATTTGAATAAAAAGCTTCTTGTCCACTACAACCATTACTGAAAACTTGAAACTCAAAATGAAGTATGGCAGCACTAGAATGGGCTCCTCATTCATTCTTTCAAATTCCAGAGAGGTGCTGGACGTGACATTCTCTCCCATACACAAAGAGAAAATGAAAACGGCATAAGTTTCGAGCCAGTTTTATGGCTGCTCGGCATTTCTCTATAAAAGCAGCCCCAATAGTGCCACAGCAAAGCTAAATGTAGTCCATTAAATTCCAGGGCCAAGCTCATGAACTACCACATGAGGATAGTAGTGCGCTCAGAGGACAGACAAGGTGTAAAATGTTTGACAGAGAAAGCGATGTGGAGGCTGGATACTGTGTGTGTGTTTTAGAAACACCTGAGAGCATATACCTCTCCATGGACCACCAGAGAAAGATAATACATGAAGCACTGTCATTTATTCCTAATGTTTGCACTCGCTGGGACAAATCTAACATGCAAATGAAACCCCCCAGGCAATAGAAATGCAATTAAGGTAAGCTAGCCTGCTAGCAAGGTTAGTGCCACTGGTGAAGTGCCAGGTAGCACCCCCGGCACAGCTTTCCCTCAGGACTCCCACTCTGCCGGCTGTGCAAGGAACCAGCGACCCTTAGCACACGCCTCCCTTCCCAACACGGCCACTGGTAATAAATTACCTAATCCCCCTATCCCCAGCTGTTTCTATTATACACCCCAGGCTTGTAAAGAACAGCTAGGAGGAGAGAAAGGGGGTTGAAACAGACAGTGAGTGGTGGGCGTGAAGCGAAGAAAAAAAAAAGAAAAAAAGACTTATTGACAATGACAGTGGGAAGATATATAGGCCAAACAAAGGCAGGAATCAGCAACCATTACCTTCAGTATCAATAGGACGTGTGTGTGTGTGTGTGTGTATCATTTTTGATGTTGGAAAAAAAAGGGGCACTTACTGGAGCACTGCATTTCTCTCCAGAGAGATCTATAGACAAGTGTCAGCTTCATTAATGTGCATCACCTCAGAAACATTTTAAGAATGGACCAGCTACAACGTGTTTTTTTCTGCAGTCTCTGTGGTGTGAATGTGGTATTTATGTGAGTTTCATGAATCTTCCCGAGAGATGAACATGATTCCACCACTGAAGATGCACATCTCAGGCATCTATTTCAGCTGAGCAGAGAAGCAGCTACAAGGGACAATGACATCAGTGCTCAAACCCTCCCAGAGGAATGCTTGTCGTCACTCACACTGGCACACACACTGCTATGGAAACAGCATGGGAGTGAGCGTGCGTCGGGGTTAAAGGGATACCGCAAGGCACACACACACACATACAAGCAGAAAGAAATAACTGAAAAACAAAGCGACAGGGGCAATCCATTGAAAACAATGCTGACACATGACCAAACTCTTCCTGACTTGCTGTGTAAGGCTAGTCAGGGGAAAAAAAACACTACAGAGGTCAAATGACGACTAAATGACTCTCTGTCATGTGACGGGAGAGATAGCGAACACATATTTCCTCGTGAATGTGGGAGAGGAAATAGAGCAGACCTTTGACTGAGCTTGATCTCGGAAGTATCTGACAGATATGTGGTTTCAAAGCAGAGTGCTGCCAAAGCCAAGATGGAACATATCCTATCAGACAGCTCACTGTCCCAGTTGACTGCTATGGAAACAGCGAGCGTGTGAGAGCATGTATGTGTGCCAGAAGCTGAAAGGACATGACAGTATGGGCACACACAACCACACGGGCTAATGCAGCCACCCGTGCTTATGCATGTACACAAACACACACAAAAAACCACACGTCTGTTACCTATTTACACGTCAAACGCAGTTTGACGTGTAAATAGGTTGGAAAAAGTTGGAAGAGGGCAAACAGAGCAGCTGCAACACATACACACACACACACACACACACACACACACACACACAGCATTCTACGGACTGGGCAGCCATTCAAACAGCGCTCAGTAACAGTAACCCACGGCAACCCTAAAACCAGCCCCCTTTTCCCTTCCTTCTCAAGAGACACAGATCCATTTGCCAGTTAAAGGAGAACCGAATGAACCAGCAGATAGAGTGCCCGAGAGTGAAAAGAGGTTGTAACTTTACCCACTCTGCCCTTACTGAAGAGCAGCACTACAC